GGGGGGAAAATAAAGTTTTAATGACATGTATGACATATTAAATTAGGCAGTTTTACAATTGGGTTTGAATGTGATGCTAACTGATTACAACTGTGTTATCAAAAGGGTGATAAGATTTATAACTCCGTGAGCACAAGCCTCTCCTCTTAATGACAATAGATGTTCAATAGCAGAAATCTGGTTTCTATTTCCCAAGAAGAGACGCTGTGTGTCTCCGTTGCCCCTTTATTACCGCAGGACTCAAGATCCTCTCTCCAACAGCTTGGCACTTGCAAACCCACAGGCCGGGAATACCTTTATGGTCCCTATTAACTACTGGGTTATTTACACTTTCGCTGGTGCTTCTCACTCAATACCCGTATCACATCCGACGGATAACACAGTCCCGCTCCGGCCCTTTCGCTGCGTGGTTGGGGTTTGCAGTTCGCGTTTCTTTGCTTTACAACATTATGGGGGGAGGTGGAGGGGGGGGAATTAAAAAAAAAAAAGAGAAAAAAGCAGCGCTCTGTCCCTCACACCCTTCTCCTCCCCAGCTCCCTAAACCAACACATTAAGCAAACTTTAAAAACTGGGTTCCTATTACAAAGCAGCGCCCAGGACTAACTGCTTTAAAATTACTGCATAATTAGATTTAGTTGAATTTCACCATTAATTAGGCAGCCGCACTGCGGGGAGCCTTTGAAATCTGAGAAAATGGGAAAAATCATCTGAAGCACGTTTTTTAAACCCGACTTCAATAAATCCTGACAAGGCCCGCATTGCTCCGTGTATCTCTTTCCACCCTACAAAGCAAAGCGGAGCGAGCGCGATCCCCGGGACCCACGAAAGTTTTAATTAAAATAAAAAGAACCCCCCAGCCGGCTTCCCACCGCCGGAGCGCCTCACAGCGGCCCGGTCCTCCCCCTCTCCGCACCCCCCGGCCTCCCACCCCTTTATTTTGGCGCATCTGCCGGTGCTCCCCGAACCCACGGCGGGTCCGACCCCGGTGGGTCGCGCTCTCACGGGGGAGTCGCTTCCCCGGTTCGCCGCCGCGCTCAGCGAGCGGCGCGGCTCCGCGGGGCTCCGCGCCCTCCGCGCCCTCCGCTCCGCCACCCGCGGCCGCCCCCGCTCAGCTTTCGGGCCCCCCGCGCTGCCGCTGGAAGCGGCGGATCCGCGCGGCGCGCAAACCGAGGCCGGGGCCGCCATGTTGTGGGTTGCGGCACATCGCAATGCCCGGCGCGGGGCTTTTCCCACGCGCTTCCCACCGCGGCTTTTCCCTCCCCGTCGCGCGGAGAGAGGGTTCTCCCTCCCCCCCTCCCCTCTCCAACCCCCCGGGTGGGAGCCCGGAGGGGCCGCGAAGCTGCGCCCGGCCCCGGCAGCCCCACGGGCGGGCCGGCACCGCCCGCCAGGCGCCTCCTCTCGCCCCAGCCCTCCGCTTTTGTCTGAACTTGGGAGAGCCGCCTCCCCTCCGCGCCCCCTCCGCGCCCGCGCAGCCGCCTCCCCCCCCACCTCCCCACCGGCGGGGCCGGGGAAGCTTCGGGCGAGCGGCGGCGCGGAGGAAGAGGAGGAGGAGGAAGAGGAGGAGGAGGGGAGGCGAAGCCCTGCGCCCGAGCTGCGCTCTGCAGCTCTCGTTCCGGGTCGCCTTCGGGTCTCTCCCCGCCAGTCCCCGCGCCCGTGGTGGGGAAAGAATCGAGATTTAAAAACCCAAACAAAAACAGAAAAAAGAATTAAAAAAAAAAAAAGAGAAAAGAGAAAAAAAGAAAAGAGGGAGGGCTTGGGGGGGGGGACGGCAAGGGAAGAAAAAAATAGACTTAAAGGGAAAGAGTCGCCATGTTTAGCAGCTTTTTTTTTTTTTTTTTTTTCTTCCCTCTTTAAAAAAAGATCTCCTCAATTCCACATAGAACAAGCTCCTCGATCCCAACCCTCCTCTTTTGTCCAATTCAATCTTTGGATAGATCTTTTGTTCTAACTCAGCATGAAAAGAAAAACTTTCTTTAAATGCTATAAACTTAAAACTAACTGCAGTCCCTAAACAAATCCCGCTCGGAGCAGAGCAGACCCGTCTAGGTCTGCATATCCACGGGGCTCGTGCGTGCGGGTGTGCGTGCGGGTGTGCTCTGATTGAACCCTGGTGCTTTTCTGTTTACTATTATTCTCAGCGAACCAAAGCTTGCTGCGAGGAACTTATAAATACAGAGAGAGCTTACAGGCTTTACGACATAAAAAGCGGAGAATGTTTTGGATTTGAAAATCATAAATTATAATTTAATGCCAATAACAATTTACAACAAATGGTTGTTTACAATAAACTAACACAAAACAAACAAGTCAAGATCCTGTGTTCTTAGTAAGCATAAAAACTTCACACACACACACTCACATGGATAGCACTTGCAATAGAAAAAGCTAAATCTAGAGGTCAGCAATCCCCTGCAATAATAGTATATTTATATATTTATAGATATTTATATATTTATAGGAAAGGAGCCATGATTCAGATGGAGAGCCCCGCTCGGCTCACAGCCCTGCGCCCTCGGCCCCAGCAGCCACA